ATCATGTTTTTTCACGCATCCTTAACAACCATTCCAAACACGATTATGCCCTTACGGTCTTGGTTCTGTGCGTGCTGTGTGATGGACTAAAAGCGAAATTGACATAGCGGGAATTCATTTAATCGTCATAAGATGTTTATAGAGAAAGCACCTAGCTCAACGATCGATCCCGTAGCCTGTAAAAAATCGAAAAAGGTTGCCACTACATTCATCACGCCCGCCCTCATTCAGGTGTAGAGAGTGTTTTCAGCGTGGTAGATCTTCAGCGCGTGTGTTGTGGTTGGGTGTGCAATTTGTTTGGGTATTCGCTCTAGATCTTGCGCTTAATCCTTATTCTCGTGCTTGTTTGTGCTGGGTTCGGGATCAAACAGTCTAAAGATTTGCGGGAAGGAAGTCACTCAGAGGATCGGCCCAGGGTTTGAACTTTTGGTAGCCCGTAGCATTAGAACACGCACACTGGGAGAAGAACACGCTTTTTGCAGGACGACACTTTGCATCTCCAGACGCAGACCGTCTCTACAAGTATTATTTTATGTGCCACTTATATATTCTTATTTGCTCTCTTCTTGTTTTGTTTGTTTGTTTTAAATGGATGCGAGGACTCCGTCTGAAGTTTGTTCCTTTTCTCGCGTGGTTCTAAAGCTATTTCAATGAAAATACCAGTTAGACCGAGCCACGTTGGGGTCTTTCTTGAGAAAAACAGAACTGGTAGAGCGAAAAAGTTTTGTTGTAAGAGTCGAAAAGGTGAAAACTTGCTAAGTCTAAAACTTGTAAAAAAAAGGCGGAGCTGTGCTTTATCCGTCTTTGTTGCTGAAGCTAGGACGAGCTTGTGAAAGTTACTGTTGTTGAGCCTGAGAAAAAGCAAAACGCTAAAGAAAAGTTGAAGAAAGCTTTCGCCGGTTTACGAACTTGCACAAGAAAAAGTTTAAGTTGAAGGAGGCGCTATTTTGATGGAAAGGTTGCAAAGTAGTGCTGTTCTGAAAAGTTGAAGCGTAGTCGTGTTTTTCGCTTTTGTAAAGTAAAAGCTCCGAGCCTAAATGAGCTGCTTTTAGTTTTTTACTAATTTTTTTGTTTCTCATCTTACACTTACTTGTCGCTTACTTCTTTGTTCTACGCTGCAGGTCGCTGTGGGCACGTCTTACGCTTTTTGCTTGTAGCTACTGTCGTACACGTACTGTTTTTCGTGTTATCTAAAACTCTAGTTTCTACTCATCTTCTTGCTTACATCGCTGGGCCTTTAGTATCTTGTCTGTTTTCTTTCTTGTGACAATACGGTCATGGTGTCCGTTTCACTTTCACCAGGTCGACGCTCCAAAACCGAGTTAAGGATCGACAATGGTAATGCAGTTTACGTCAATACGAATTTGAATCAACGTCAATAGGAGCGGACGAGGCAACGCAGTTTACGTCAATAGGAGAGGACGAGGCACACCCCGTGGCTTCACTCTTACGTCACCTTTTCTGGACTCGTAGTATCTTGCGGAGGTAGCTGAATCTTCGCCTTGTTTCCTGCTACTTCAAACAGTCGCGCCATTTCTTGTGCGACTGCCTCTTTGAATTTCATCACTTCGGTAGCTGTCAGGCGCCCGGGTCCTTCTTCTTCTTTTTCTTCTTCTTGTTTGTTTTGTTTGTTAGTGATGGAGTCGTGGTTTCCGTGTGAAGGGTTTACCTTCCTCTCACGATGTTCTTCTTTTTCTTCCTCTTTGCCTTCTTCTCTTTCTTCTTCTTTTTCTGCGCCTAGGCCGGTAAGCGGGCAGGGGGTCTCGGTGCACCAGGGTCCTTCTTCTTCTTCTTTTTCTTCTGCTTCTTTTCCATCCTCTTTTTCTTCTTTTTCTTTTTCTTCTTTTTCATCTTCTTTTTCTTCTTTTTCTTTTTCTTCTTTTTCTTCTTTTTCGGCGCCGACTTCTGCGTCTGCAGCTTTGCGCGCTTTTGAAATTTTGTCGCGAGCCTCCTCCGCAAAGCGCTTTGCCTCCGGGTCTGGAGCTAGTGTATCACAGTAGCTTTCGAATGTACGCGCGTATTCTTCTGGCTTCCAAGTGTCTTTGTTTTCATCAAACACAAACGAGAATTCCCGTTTGTCAGGAAACCGGAGCAAATCCGTAGGATGCGCGTCCCATTTTTGATCCGACTGACCTGGAAAGTACGGCTGGGATCACATTGAAAAAAACGTCCCTGATTCCAGACAGATCTCGGGTGGCCGCGAACTGCAGCATCTAAGATTACAAAACAACTTAGCGCGAACTTGAACTTCTCCGGCACTATACAAGCTACCAAAGTGGGCCAGTAACTGCCCTCGAAACGACCCAAAGTCCCTGCAGTTCAATTGTCTGCACTGGGTTGCATCGCGCGCCAGGTATCTTGAGCGGCACAACGCCGCCCGTTCTATTGGTGCAGGGAAATTCAATTGGAGCCCCCCTCGCGTTACTATTCTCGCACTTCGTGTTCAAGAGATTGATGTAGCTACGCCCCCGGACGTGCCTCGGTAGCCGATCGCTCTACCAACCGGAGGCGCGCTTGTTGATGCTTACAAATACAAGGCGAGTACAAGCTTCTTTGATAGTTTGGAGGGAATGAAATAAAATCAAGAAAACTATCAGGCGAGCCAGGAGTTGTCAACATGCTTACAAATACATGCAGAACAAGCTTCTTCGGCACTGCTTACAAATACAAACTTGCTCTGCATGCGGGAACTTGCTACTAGATTTGTCTGGTTTTAGACTGGTTTTCAATTCGATTTGATAGCATCATCAAAAGGGTCAGAGCGATCGTCGCCACCGCTGGGTTCTTGGTCTCCTGCGTACATTTGCACTTATCCTGACCAAAACAAAGCCACACCGCATGATTGCCGCACAAAGCTTTGTAGAGTTCTCCTTGGGGCATCACCAGTCTTGTACAGCCTCTCGGCATCGCTCCCGCAGTCACACAGATGAGAGTGACCGTGACAAAACCACGGGACGACGAGACCGAGACCACGCTAAACAAATAGAAATGGGTGTCCGCATTGCCATTGGCAAGCTTGAGATTGCTTGAGTAATTATTATACAACTGGCTTTTGCAGCTGTAATGCCCTGGCGCGTGCCCTGCCGCATGCCTAAAGTTCAGAGCGTTCGTCTAGTTTGCAGACAGATAAGAACCTCGCGTCACACGGAGGTTCGTACGGCATCGCAGCACGGGATGGCTTTTACTCAATATAAAGTATTTTTACCAGCAATCCGGAGGTATGAAGCACTCTTGGAGGGATGACGTCGAGCCATTGGTTTTGCATGATTTGAAGCAGGTGTTGAAACCACCCTTATTCTAGATATCCTTCAGGTTCTATAGACAACACTTGGTTCATTACTTCTTGCAACTTCGTCACGTATTCCCCACGAAGTTGTGATTGCAGCATTTTGCGCCAAGCTTCAACTGGCTGCTCGGCAACAGAACCGCCATAAGCGAGGAGCAAGGAGGCCGGTTTCAGCGAGAGCGGCAATCCCAGCGGGAGGTTCTCGTTGTTCCTGACCTCGTCGTCTATTCCGATCGCCCACCGGAAGTGTCTTTGGGCAACGGTGTTGAGAATCGACTTCCGATCAGTTTTGTCTTCGAGGAGCAAGCTCAAAACGTCGTACTTACTCTTAGGTAATCCTGCACCAGGTGGCTCTTCTAGAAAGCTCAAAAAAGCGTCCCAGATCAGCGCCTCCTGTGTATCATATCAAAAATGGTCCTTCTCGCTACACATCCGGAGCAAAAGATACGGTCGCGCTTCTGTTGCATGCAGTTTTTACATCGCCAACAAATTCCACATGCAGTACTCGCAGCATTGGGCCGGCAGAAGCAGGCCTGTGGTGCTTGCCTCATTCTCGGGTCACAGTCACGCGGATTCTCGCTACTTATTTGGAAAACGAGAAGGATTATTTCGCATCTCATATGCAAAATATACGTCTCCTTGAGTATAAAATTGTAGTACAGCCGAAACAGACCTATATAAGCTCTCGTGCGTTTTTGGTTCCTTTTTCAGATGTTGCAGTTATAAGATGGAAATCATCATACGCAATAGTCAGATTCATTGGTTTACGAAAGTGAATTAGCGTGGCAAAAACTGACACTGAGCCAAACCGACTTCGGAAATTATGTATTGCCCCTTGCACATGTGTGTTTCACGACAGCCTTCAAGCGATTTGATGTGTATCTATTGATCATTCTTAGGTGGTTTTGCACACCCACACGCATGTAAAATGCTTATCACGTATGACACTTGCATCTCATATCTCTTGGGGATTCTCCATCATTTCTTCGACGCGCCGGGAAACTGCCTGGTCCTCGTCTATCTGATTTCCGTTTCCATCCGCTATTCTATCGCTTCCGTGCCATCCGTACCACATCCCACACGCAGAGAGCAGTACGGCCTTGACCATGTCGGCATATGCGTCCTGCAAAATCTGCAGACTGGGACTAATGCGGTCCATTTGAAGCAAAAATAAAAAAAATTTCTGTACTTCTTTTTCTTTCGCAAACTCCGAAGACCATTTTGGACGATCTGCATCGCCCGAAATCACAGCCAGTTCACGCTGCGGGCAATGTGATCCAAGACCTGATTTTTCGTTACTCACGAGGTCAAGCAGTACTTCTTCGTTCACTTGTTCGTTTTTCTGGAGTTGGTCAAAATAATACGTACGGAGGGGATCCTCAGGCATGATTTGCTCGTACACGCGAAATGTTGCGAGTACGTCGTCGAACGCGAGGTCCGCGTTCGTCGTCTTGGTATACTGATGATCCCTATACCAAGCTTTGAGGGAAGATAGCTGAATCATCTGTTGATCCGCTGCTGCCTGGGACTGCTGCTCGTCGGTCATTCGCCCAGGTCTTAGTCCGAGCTCAGGTCTTAGTCTGCCGTGTTTGCTGGACAAGCTGAAGCCCTCCTCGCGTCCGAGCAGTACTACCGGTTTCCCCGGAGCTGCACTGTCACTGCGTTGCAGAAAATCATGGGCCGCATTACCCGTGGTCGCAAGTGTGGGCAAAGGTCGCCTGCCGGGAGTGTCCACGGCACCGGAAACGTCTCCCCGTCCTTCTTCCACCCGGATAAACCCGCGCTCCAGATCTGCCGTGGCAGGCGAGGGAAACGCCAACGCCATGCCGTTGTTTGGACGATCGGGCTGCAAAACAGGCTCGTCGTTTGAAGTGCCAGCAGAGCTTCGCAGTGAGTTCCGCTCTTCTGTTCGACCGGCATCCAGCGCATGAGCGACTGGTGACGCCGGGCGACTATGGATGCCCGCTAGAAGAAAACTGGAAGCAAACGAAATCGCACGGAAAACTGAAGAACAGTATACAACATGCAGTCACCTTCTGTATGATTTTTTTCTCTGCGCCCATCGTGGATGGTACTTAAGTTGCAAACACACCGCGCCATGCGCCTCCGCTGCATACTGCAGCACGCCAGAATCTCCCAGCGGCGAGTGCCGCGAGGGAGGTATGTCAAATAGGAAAAGAATTGCAAGGCTCGTGTAAGCTAGTGAGAAAGGCCTTCAGTATTCAATGCGATAAAGGCAGACTCAAACTCCGTCGTGTTGCGGTGCAATTCTTCGAAGTCTTGATGTTGTAGAAAATTTTCGTCCTCGTCTGGATCGTCCATTTCTTGAAGAAACTCTTCATCCGAGTCACGCTCTTCTTCATCGTAATCCACGGGGTCTTCCATTCGGCGCAGGGAATCTCTTTGCGGGCGGGGTTGCTTCATATTTCTCATGATACCGTTGTCGACCTCCCGGCCCGCAGGTTCTTGGGCCACAGTTTCTTCACTTCCATCGTTCGTCGTGGTCGTCATGCTCGTTTTTCCGCCGGCAGGCTCCGGGTCGTCCGGTTGCTCTTCCAAAAAGTCATAGCCTGCCCCTGGTTCTTGCTCACCTTCGTCCGCCAGGAAGGGTGCGTTTGCCGCTTCGCGTTTTTTTGATGACACAGTGCCAGAGCCATCAGCTCCGTTTGGGTTCAGGTCCGCCTCCCCGGGATCTCTGCTCGACAGCTGCCGCCGAGGACGACTTTCTTTGTGCGCAGAAGTGCAATCTCGTCCCTGGTTACACTCCGGCACCACACCGTCGGCCGCTTCATGCGACGACGTGGTTTTGGAGAAGAAAAGAGAAGAAAGTTGGGTGTTGAGGAAGTCGATAGCGAAGAGCGAGACCAACTGTTCGACGTTACCCCCGTCTTCGGAGTAATACAGCACACAGACTGTAACAAGAGCGAAGACGATTAAAAGAAGAAAGAGGCCAATGATGAAGCGAAGCAAGCCTACCGAAGCGCAGCGCCGTTTTGCAACTTTTTCTCCGTGGTCGACCTTTGTGTTTCTGCTGGCGCGATTCTTATTTCTTGCTTTCTTGCGTGGTTTTTTCCCGTTGCGCGCTGTGTTCTGGTGCCCCGGCCGGGATGAGTCCGGATGGCGTGCAGAGGAGCTCGACACGACTGGATTTCTTGGCAAGGTAGATACCGGCGAGCTGTTAATCAAGTCAGCCCCGATATCTCGTGCGGAACAGGGACTCTTGTAAATGGTAGCTGCGTTCGTCCCATCTTTTTCTTGTTCCACCATGCTTGCGGGCTCACGGCTTTCGCGATCCGCGGACTTTTTTACTGGAGTGGCAATTTGTTCATCCTCTGTCGCGGAGGACATCTGCTCACTGGACGAAAATTCGTCGATTATTTATGCTCCGCTCAGTTGTTGCAATCGAAAGTCTAGGTAGTTTTTCGGCTATTCGTGAGGGATTAGCTGCAAATCTAGTCACCTGGTGTGGCACTATCCAAATCGATCTTGATGCTACGTGGCATTATGATGGCCACCAAGTTTAGAAACGATGCATAGAATGCAGACACTGCGATTGCTGTTGTGGTCGCGTCACCCAAAAGCGGAACAAGTGTAACACCGACTGAGATTCTTGCAACACCCGAGCAGGTCATATGAGTATACCCTGCAGGTCACCCATCTGGTGCGGCACTCCCGGGGGCGGTTTCGACGAGTGTCCAGCCGTGCCTCCTTCCGAAACTTTGTTTTTCCAATTTGGAGCACCGGCGTCCACATCGCAATCAGACCCGCTAGCAGAACTGCTCGTTTCCGCGGAACCGTTGAACACCGACCGGCCCGCGTCTGGTTCTTCCACGCCGACGGCGCTCATTCCTTTATTTTGCTTTCGTGTCATGCCAAAGCTGTGCACGAGTCAAATCTGCAACCTACACCGGGGCGATACAGCGTAAAAGATTCAGAGACTGTGCCTCCGAGAAAGTTTCTGCGTCATAAAAGTACAATTCTCATTCGACATCGAAAAACGAAGAAACCGGTGAATTGTAAGTGGAAGGACAAAAGCGTAAACGATACGTGTATGACAATTGCTGTGCCTTGGGGTCGACACACAAATCAAGAAACACGACAAAGAAATGTGATGTCGGAGCTGGTCACGATGAAAAATGAGGTTTGTAGTGCTAACCTACGGGGTTGGGTGTTGGTTTTTAGCAGCACAAAGAGGAGAATACACTGCGGGAAAAAACACGATATGTAGATGCATTTCGACGACAACGATTGAATGCGGTGGCAGAAACGAAGCCGATAGCCTCAGACACGGACGAGAACGCAAAGAGGCACTTGCTTCATCACGTTCAGTCGAGCAAGAATGATAACGACAGTCAGCAGGACGACACCGATCAAGTTGTGTTTTTGCACGAAAGTACCGAAACGGCGAAACCACAAAGACAATGGGGGAATCGAGAAGTCTTACACTGAGTAGTTTCGTCCGACCTTTTGCATCTGTTTCTGTTTTGGACGACAACGAAATTATTAACCACAACCTACGAAATATGCGTGGCAACGAGGAACGCATAACTGCGCGAATTGAACTCACAACATTAACCGCTCGCGCAGAAAAGCCCCCGCGGGCACGCGCAAGGCTATACCACGCTCTCTGTTTTTTCAGAGCACTTTTCGAGCGTTGGGTGCAGCTCTGTTTCCGAGCTGTAGTCGCGAAAGCGCGAACTTCCGGCGGTGCTCCTTGAGCATTATTTCGCTTCGTCAAATCTACTGTTTATCAAGGCCTGTGCATGCTTGCTTGAGTCATGTAATTCCAAAACAGGTTTTGAGACTTCTTGATTCTGCTGCTGTTTTGCTGTTAGAAAGAAAGAATTTGGAAACTGCTGCTGCATCTGAGCTTTTTGAAGAATTTGGTTGATTCTGTACAAGAAACGTCGACTTGGTAGCGCTGAATAAAAAACTTGGATCCAGATCTAAACTTTTACCACTTACTACGGTCAAATTTTACAGAGAACAGGTTGCCCGTACTTGTAGCTCAAAAAAATCACGAACGATTACCGTCGGATCCTCCGGCCGTAGCCCCCGCCCCGCTACCGCCTTCTCCCCCGCCGGCGCTGCGCAGGCAGGGGCAGCACGGAAAGCCCTTCCGGTTGCTCTTCTCGCCCACTTCCCCGGCTTCTTCCTTTTTCATCTGCACCCAGGACTTGGTCTCGCTCTTCTTCATGGTCTGCTGCGTTTTGGCGGACAGAAACGAACGCTCCCCCGGATTTACCTTCTGCCAGAAGTCCACCGCGTTCAGCTTGCCCGCAAAGTTCTTCTCGACGAGCATGAGAAATCGGTCCAAATCCAAGTCATTGAAACTGTTGTCCGTGAGCGTGAAGCAATTGGACAGCTCCTCGTGCATGAACCACTCGTCCTGCGTGAACATGTACTGCTCCGTGAGCGCTTTCCGCAGGCTCCCCATGTTCGGCCCGAGCTTCGACTTGGCCCAGGTGGTCAGTTCCAGCAGCACGCTCCCCGCACTGCTGGCGGCCAGGCTCGAGCTGATCCCCGCCCCCTTGGCGTGCTCCACGATGAAGGCCGCCTCGTCCTTGGACAGCCCGAAGGGCAGGTAGCCGAGCAGCAGGCCCAACGTGAAGGAGAACCGCTGCTCCTGCAGATACCGGTCCCCGTCCGCGAACAGGGACAACACATCCAGCAAAAACGCGATGCAGGACTTGTTCATGCCGGGCACCAGCTTTTCCTCGATGGTCCGGTGCAACCGGGCGAGTAAAACCTTCTGCACGTAGTCCACTGGCAAACTGGGCGCCACACGCGTTACCGCCTTGCACTGCTGCACGATCGAGCTCGGGGCCGTCCACCTATAGAGTAATCGGGGAACAACCAGATGAAAACTTCTGCGAATTCTTTTGTCCGCACGTCGCTTTGCGAAATAAGTCTTCAAGCAAAACAATTGTTAGGACATGCAGAGCGGACTGCCTGACGAAGGCTGTGGCTACTACAAACAGTGCTCTGCAGGCGTTCTCGGAATTACGTACCTTGTATCACACAGAAAAAAGCGGGCAGGGCATATTTGTAATGCAAAAATAAATACTTAATTTCCTTCACGGCGAGTCTCGATAAAGTGGTGGGCGAGGGCGAAACACTAGCAACAGCTAGCCGCCTTTTTTGTTATGTAGTTGGTGTCCGCGACACCTCGAGCCAGTATGCACATGGGGACGTGACGGCGCCAGCCGCGGGCCCCCTGCAGGGAAGATCATGGGCAAGCAGCTGCCGCAGCAGGCTACCCCCATGTCATCGATTTCGTGCAAACCTTTGCACGCACGTGTGGGCAAGGTCCGCGAGGACCGGACGCTGCGCGCACGTGTGAGTGAGGTCCGCGAGGAGCGGATGCTGATATTCATATACTTCCTGCAGGAGGGCCGCAACCAGCACCACACAAGGGGCTGAGGTGAGGCGGTCACCAACCGCATTGCGAGCGCAGCGACACTGGCGCCCGTGTGTGGGAAAGCAGCCAGCCAAGCAAGCACTGCGCGCTCGGCGCATCGATCTATTTTGTCGCACTTCCTATGTCCAGGCGAGACAAGGGCGGGTGGGCGTGGTCGAGCAAAGTGGCCACCGCTCATCGAGCGGCGGAGCCTCTTATCTTCTGAGTATTCTCAGAAGTTCCGCCCGCTATTTTTCTGCGGGGGTTTTTCGTGGCGGCGTTTGCCTTACCACGATCGATCTCGCCGACTAAGAAATTAACCAAAATTGAACAAGTGAAATTGACACTAATTTCCTTCACGGCGAGTCTCGATAAAGTGGTGGGCGAGGGCGAAACACTAGCAACAGCTAGCCGCCTTTTTTGTTATGTAGTTGGTGTCCGCGACACCTCGAGCCAGTATGCACATGGGGACGTGACGGCGCCAGCCGCGGGCCCCCTGCAGGGAAGATCATGGGCAAGCAGCTGCCGCAGCAGGCTACCCCCATGTCATCGATTTCGTGCAAACCTTTGCACGCACGTGTGGGCAAGGTCCGCGAGGACCGGACGCTGCGCGCACGTGTGAGTGAGGTCCGCGAGGAGCGGATGCTGATATTCATATACTTCCTGCAGGAGGGCCGCAACCAGCACCACACAAGGGGCTGAGGTGAGGCGGTCACCAACCGCATTGCGAGCGCAGCGACACTGGCGCCCGTGTGTGGGAAAGCAGCCAGCCAAGCAAGCACTGCGCGCTCGGCGCATCGATCTATTTTGTCGCACTTCCTATGTCCAGGCGAGACAAGGGCGGGTGGGCGTGGTCGAGCAAAGTGGCCACCGCTCATCGAGCGGCGGAGCCTCTTATCTTCTGAGTATTCTCAGAAGTTCCGCCCGCTATTTTTCTGCGGGGGTTTTTCGTGGCGGCGTTTGCCTTACCACGATCGATCTCGCCGACTAAGAAATTAACCAAAATTTAACAAGTGAAATTGACAACAAAAAAATCTGCATTGCATATCCGAAACAGCATGCTATGGGGCCACCCATGGCAATTTTTTCTGTGTATTTATTTCTGCATTACAAATATGCCCTGCCAGCTTTTTTCTCTGGGATACCTTGGTCGGTAGGGCTGTCCTGGTGTTTTTCGCCAGAGGAAAGTAGCGTACTCCAAGTTGCCGTCACCGTCCTTATATGCATTGCAAAAGTATCGTACTAGTATAAATTGCATCACAAATGTTGGCAAGAAGAAAAGTGGAATTTGTAATGCTGTTTTACCTTAGGAAGGAGATTCGTCATGCATATTTGCAATTAGTACGACTACGATACTTTTGCACAGGATACCTTATCCGTTGCGCTCACGATCCAGTCCAGCTCTAGCCCGGTGAGATAAGGCTCCGTCTGCATCAAAATCATGCGAAACGTTTGCGGCGGCAGAAACCTACAGTTTTGAAAACGTGCACTTTTTCATATTTTTTGCCCGTCCAAAAGTTGTTTTAACGTTGAAGTCAAGAAATAAAACTGCGTACAGAACTCAACAACACTAGAATTATCGTACCCGGAGGATTCCGGGTCCAGCTTCTGGCATTCGGTTGCTAGGGCGTTGAAGTGGATGCGGTCGAAGTCGTCGGGGCAGCTGGGCGGCGAGGTTCCGTACCGCTCGGCCGTGCTTGCGATGGCCTTTTCGAAGCGGTCCAGCGATATGGGCTTCAAGTCGCCACCGCTGCTGCTGCTGCTGGACCCGCCCGGACTGAGACTCTGGAAGACGCGGTGGGCTTCCACGCGGGACACTCCGAGCGGACAGGTAGACACCGCTTCGAGGAAGTCCTCGAGTTGAAGCTTGTTCGCGTTCGGGTCGCCCGACCCCCTTCCGCCGGAGTGGAAAAGCGACAATATCACGCGGAGTGAAGTTCGCGTGTTGTTCAGTCGCTGCGCGAGCCGCCACAGTATGATCACACTAGCCTCGGACCGTTCCCCGGGTTGGCGCTCGGCGCTTTGCGTGCGCTGGTAGCTGCCCGGGGTCGGTGGGGGCATGCCGGGTGGAACGTTCATCGGCGGTGGGGCTGTCACGCTCGCGGGAGTGCTGGAAGTTGGAGTAGATTGATTGATACAGTGCATCAACAATGGAAGGTAAGCGGTTTGTTTTCTGTCGAGACAACGAGTTGTTCCACAAGGAACGTAAATTAAGATGCCTGCCAAAGTCATAGATTTTCGTTTACCCGAGTGATGAGCTTTTCCTTGATGATGGATCCGCTGGTCGGCTGTGCATGGAAGTTAAATTGTTTTGAACGCTGGAGTCGAACAATCGACGACACGGCCGTTTGTCTATCTGAGTCACAAAAATGCACGAACTTATTCATGAAAGTAGTGAACATCTTTTTTCTGCCTATATTTTCGCCACTTATTAATCTTTGTAGGCGCCAGCGGTTCGATTGTACTAAAAATTTCGCTTTGGTAGTGGGTGACGAAGGGTGAAAACCGGGTCCCGGGCCAAGTGCTCCAGGCATGGCCGCGGTATTCGATGGCATACTTGACGTTCCGGCTGTTGTCGACGGCGTGGCGCCGGCTCTGGTAGCTCCCACCGGTGGCCGCGGAGATCTAACATTTCAGTTTTCGTAAAAATTATACATGATCATGATCATTGCACCCAACTACCATGTGCATATCGCACGACACAAATACATTACACCGCGACCTGTAGCCACACCGAGTGCTGCAAACAGTTCAAAAATCTTACCCCTCGAAGCCCTCCGGCGGGGGGCCACGGTCGCGGTCCAGAAAGGACTTCCCGCCGGACAGGCGCACAAAGCGGTCCTCGGCGAGCAGCGCTCGGACGTCCACGTAGCCCTCCACGTTTTTGGGCGCAAGTGCCAGCATACGTCGCCGCTCCCGGTCGGTGGTGACGACATCGGAGATGCAGTCGAGAAAGGCTTTTTCCGCAACGACGCCGCTGGGGTCGCTGCCGCAGATCTTTTGGTACAGCGCCGCCGACGGGCTGGAGGCGTTTAGCCCCTCCGCGACGGGGTTGGCCGCGTGGTCCACCACGGTCAGGTTTGCGTCTTTGATGGCCTTCAGCTCCTGGGTGGTTTCTATGCGGATAATCCACCGGCACGCAGTGGGGTCCCAGTTGGTGGCGATCCCCTCGAGCCCGTTCAGCTGGGGCGAGTTGCGCAGGTTCTGGATCCGCACCTTGGCGCCTTTGACGACCAGGTTTGGACTGGTGTTCACGGTTTTGGCAACCTGTAGCAGCTGCGACGCGGCCCACTCCTCGATCTGCGTCACCTGGAGCGGGATACTGTTCAGCGCCCGCGCGAAAGCGCTCACCTGGACCACCTCTTGGTGTGACAAGGAAAATCTGGGGAGGGTGTCTGGAGGTTCTTTTCCAGCTAGAAAACAAACATTTTGTTTTTGCCGCAGGCCGACGCCGCAAATCACATATTGATCTCTATGTTTTTAGAATGCCGCACTACACGACCTTGCTTTACTTGCTCCCGACAAGCAACGTTCTATGATCCAACAGATACTGACCTTCTATTTGGTCGTTATGCCTGCAAAGTTTTTCTTGCCTGTGATTGACGAGAACTCCCGACCACCTCCCCTCCCCTCCCGGCGATAAATTTCCGGAGTTCGTTGCGGCTTGCTGCATCATCAAGGCCAGAAAGAGATCCTTTATTTCTCCGTGTGACAGTCCCAGGTGCATCGCGGTCATCGCCCTTGAGAAATCCGCCTCGTTCAGCAGTCCCTCGCTCCGACGGTCAAACATCGAGAACACGTGCATCCAGTTGAGCTTCTGCTGTACTACTTGGTGCCGGACGCGGGACATCATCAGGTGAATGATCATCTTTGTTTCCGCGTCCGCGGTGTCGTGTACTGGCGACGTGTCCGGACTCGAGTGTGGCACTTTCGACGGCGTCTCTTCCTGTGCGGCGGGTCGCGCGCTGCCTTGTTCGGTTCGCGCACCTGAGTCGAGTTTTTTCACTTGGCTATAGCCCCATAGCAAAGCTCGAGTAGGGAGCTCGAGCTACCGCTTCTCCTGCCTATAGGAAAACACATGTGTAGTACCAATCCCAACGCGTGTAAAAAACTGAGTAAGATTTTAGACCCTGCTCCTGAAGTGGGGGCATACAAGAACACGTGTCACCAACTGAGACTGCATCATACTTGTGGACGCAAAAACATTCAGATGTGTAGGCACGAGTTCTAGTATATACTTCCTGCCACAGGGGGGCCGTCCTTGGCGTCGAAGCTCAAAGGTGTGGGCTTCCGCTTTTTCTGTGCCCCCGGCCCGAGGGACGGCGCAACCCGCTTCTGGTACTGGTCGGACCGCCGCCCCGGCTGCTCGCGACTACTCGGCCCACCCCCGGAATCCGCGCTGGTGAAGAGGTCCGAGTTGATCTGGTTGCGTCGGTACTTGCCGCCGGCCGAGTCGCCGCCTTGCTCCGCGACGATGTGTGCCATGTGCTTCTTCACGTAGGCGAGCTGCAGCACGTCCTCCCCCTTCGGGCGCGAGTGGGCGCTCTTGTCCAGCATCCGGGCGATGAGGGAGGACAAGTCCTGCGTGTACTGCCCGGGAATCGGGTCGTACCTGTCCGATACAATCTTGTACACCAACCCGAGCAGGTTTTCGGACTCGAACGCGTGCTTCAGCATGCACATCTCGTACAGGACGCACCCCAAGCTCCAAATGTCCGACTTGTACGAATACGGCTCGGAGCGGCAGACCTCGGGAGACATGTAGTAGGGCGTCCCGACCACCGTGGCCGCGGCGTCGATGGTGCCTTCCAGCACTCGGGAAATCCCGAAGTCCCCAATAGCGCAGTCCCGATAACGTGTCACAAGGAAACAAATTTCGATTGTGCAGCTGCTGCTGCAGCTCCCGCGGGGACGAGAAAAACGGACACAGGTTTTTCTTTCAACGAGTAAGTGACTGAGGAATTACTTATGATGTTGCGCTTTATGCAATAACAAAGCCTGCTGTGGTCATGCAGTGTGCGACAAAGGAAAATGTTTCATCGAAGGATACCGTGCTGGCCGCGAAGAAATATGTTGCTGCTCTTCAAATCGCGGTGCAAAATGTGCATTTTGTGCACGTAGCTGAGCGCCGACAAAGCCTGGCAAAACCAACGCATTATCTGGGCCTCCTTGAACTGCGCCTTTTCTTTGCTTCAGTGTGGAACCCAAAAAAGCACTTCTCACGAGCGACCCCCGCTGCATGATTGCAGTGATGCTCTGGAAAACGATGCGGAATGTTCGAAATACCATGCAAAACAATTCGACAATCGCGCGACTGCTGCCTCGCTTGACGTCGCCAGTTCTTGCATCTTTGCCCTACCAAAGTTATCTTGTGTCTCCTCAGCGATGTTTCTTTCCGGGGGCGACCGATCCAACATCGGCACGGGGATCGGACGTGAGGCCAGAGTGAGTAGGATACAGCGTCCTTGATCTTCTGCCGGAGCTCCCCGCCTTCGCAGTATTCCATCAGGATCACCAGCTCGCGCACCGGTTCTTCACTGAGATAGTGGTCGTAGTAAGCCACAATGTTCGGGTGGTTCAACTGTTTCAGAAGCATCACCTCCTGCCCCGCCTGCAAATTGTCTTTCTCCGACAAGAAGTCGAGACTCACCTGGACGAAGTGAAATTTAGCAAACAGCATTTTTGTTGGACCGAAGACTACACTCGCGCTGGCTTCGACCGACGTCCCGAGGCAAGCGAGCACGCAATCGCATAAAGGAGAAAGCAAGTACTGATGTTTCTTGCATACGACAAGGGAACTTCTACTTCGTTTGCTGTACCATTTTCGCAACTGCATGCTGGCCGCCTGTGGTGTCCTTCCGGATATTCAGGCTCGTATTCTGTCCTACTCTGATATCCTGTGGAGACTTGCCTCGGCGCCCGCACGGGGCAGGCAGAAGGGGGCGGCTGGCGCAGCGGCTCTGTGCATGCACGTCTTGCAGTGTGAGTTGTTACTCCGTACGAGATGAAAACGCGTGACGTACTTTGGCAGCACAGAATGCCGAGCGACCGCCGGTCGGGGTTCTGCCCGCACGTGCGGAAGCCGAGGCGAGGAAACGCAGCGTAGCCGGGGCGCACCAGGTATGCGATTCCAAACTGCCCCTTACCGAGTACTTTTACGGACGTCCATCCGTGCTCACCAAGCCGACCCGACCGCGGGTCGTTATCGCCTCCCATTCCTCGGCCGCAACCGAGGCTTGGCGCCAGCCTCTCTCCGTCGAACCTCGATCAGTTCACGGAGGACCGACGGGCCGCCGATGCTGATCCAGCCTGCAGCGTGGCCCTGCCGTCGCGGTGCGGCGGTCGGGCGAGTTGCGAATCCGGCCCATTCTGGCCGCCGGGGATCCTGCGCTGCGCGGGCTCACTATCGCGGGAGCGTTGCAAGTGGAAACGTCCGACCCGAAAAGGCGAAGGTACTGGTGGAGCTGCGGGGAACTGCAAAACTATCTGAGTCCTTTCCCTTTACCGCCGCATCGTTTATCTGCGAGCCGGAGTATAAAAAAGCGCGGGCTTGCCAGGAAAGCAAAGCCGTGGGCCATGTCACGAGTGCATTCAGAGAATTGTGCCGCGCGGGGGCTGCCTTCGGGGAAAAGAATAGTCCTCGCCCGAGCCATCACTGTCACACCCAAAGTCACTCAAACGAATCTGCTCTCTCGGCTGGGTCATATAGGCGCAAGAAGCGCACCCGTCCAATCTCTCGGACAAAACCGGTGTCCTCTCGGGGTCGACGCCTCGCTGGCCACGTTCTATAGTAAGGGACGCCGGCTGCGAACGGCAGCCCGCTAGACAACAAAAAAAGTGCGTGAATAGACTGGCGACCGCGTAGCGGTTCGCGAACTTCAGGGGCGCGAGTCTGCTCGTTCCAACCGAGGAGAGGCGGCGATAGGCTCGGCTACCTGGGCACTGGATGGCGCGCAACGCATTCGGGCGGTGCCAAGCCAAGCCGGGCGCGGCGGAGTCTCCACCGGGCCCAGTTGCGAAGCACGGCGCGCGCGGGACCGCACGCGGGCAAAATAGGCAGGCGAGGGACGAGATCGCAGCCTTTATTTATGCAGGACAAGCCTACGAGAGGCTCCGAGGGTGCTCATGTTGAGCGTGTGTGCGCGTGTGAGCGCAGCTTGAGCGTAGCTGAACTACCGGGAAATATGCAAAAGTATGCAAAAATATGTGCTCACACAAAAATATGTAGCAAGGGTAGCAGGAAATCGAAGATCCACAGCTCGTTGCTGTCGGATTTTTCTTTTTCTCACGGTCTCACCGTCCGTGCCCACTGCAGGTGCTGGTCCCCGATCGCAGGTGCTCACAGGTAGCCAGATCGTAGGTGGGATCAGGTGTGGTTTAGGCTGTGCCCCGCGTAGGGCAGCCCGTGGTCTGCCTCAGGTGCAGGAGTGTGTGTAAGTGGATGGAGTGCAGTGCTGTGCGCACTATGGGAGGATTAGGTGCTGCAGAAGAGCAGGCGTCAAGCGCTGCTGCTCGGCGAGTCGGTAGTTTCCTACCCCGGTAGGATTCACCTCGCCGGTAGTCAGCCCACACAGTACGGCTCAGACATGCTTGGGCATGCCTAGGTGTGTCTACTCTCGTTCGCGCGGTGGCGCTGCTGATCGACTCGTCGAGCAGCAGAGCTTCGTGCCCTGTTGGTAGTTTTCGCGAAGTAGATGCGAAGGGAGCGTTGCTTTCCCAGACGCCGCAGCACAGGTAGGGCCCAAGGTTGGCAGAGAGGTGCAAGGAAGCATCGACAGGCAGAGCAGTGTATCTTCGACACGCTCGCGTCGTCGAGCGGGGTGGGGGAGGGTTATGTGCCTCAGTCGGCGCCCTCTCCTCGTGGTCGAGCGTGGTGGCGAAAGGCCCTCCCCCGTTGCGTTGGATCTCGGTGTCTGGAGAGATCACGGCGCCCTCCGACGTGTCGCGAAGCAGTCTTCGCCCGCAGGCTCGCGGTCGTCTTCTCGCGTGGCCAGAAGGTCTACATCCGGTACCACAGTGGATAAGTATCACCACAGTAAGCTAGAACAGCAATAAATAAAGTAGGCAGGCGAGGGACGAGATCGCAGCCTTTATTTATGCAGGACAAGCCTACGAGAGGCTCCGAGGGTGCTCATGTTGAGCGTGTGTGCGCGTGTGAGCGCAGCTTGAGCGTAGCTGAACTACCGGGAAATATGCAAAAGTATGCAAAAATATGTGCTCACACAAAAATATGTAGCAAGGGTAGCAGGAAATCGAAGATCCACAGCTCGTTGCTGTCGGATTTTTCTTTTTTGTAAATTCCCACCCTCCCACGCCATGTTATCGGACAGTGAGGAGCAGTTTGACAAATCCATGAAGGAAGAGCTACAAGGTGTAGCAGAGGAGAATTTCAAGTCGTGCCAGAGCTTCAGCAACGCGCTTGGGGAAAAAGCAGCTGCCAGAGCAGTCAAGGAGTGTGTGGCCAGCGGTAAGCGGTTACCTACGGCTTTTCTCGAAGATGTTGCGGCGTTACCGCCCAGTACGTTCAGTCACGCACGCGCAGTTGGCAGAGGAAATGCCAGTGTCGGAGCAGCGGGGCGTCATGGTTGTCAACCAGGCGCAAGCAGCGAAGATTCGCAGTACACTCTCGCAGTTGCGGTTTTCAATCCAGTACCGGGACGGCGTCCCGCAGTTTGATACGATACGGCGCAAGAGGAAGGATGATCCCTTCACCAGGAGCAACATGCTGGACGTGCCGAAAGAAGTTTTTGTGAAGCAAATGGCGCATGCGCAGTCCACCATCGACGCGGTTTTCAGTGCCAGGACAAGTCAGGAGGGGGAAACTGCGCAAGGGAAGCTTGCGATGGCGCTCGATATAGCGCAGGATCCGATGCAGCTGCAGGCGGCCATGGCTGATTTGAATCAGATGGCGTCGACGAAAAAGGCGGACGATAATAGGGAGTCCAGAGTACGCAGGTGCGAGAAGGTGGCCTGCAGGCTGCCGTTCCGGACTTGGTCGCACGAGTCGGCGCGGGCCTTCATTGGGACGAGCATGGCGGCCGGATACAGTAGTATCCAACCCGCAGTCAAAGACGTCCTCATGGACAGCAGGCGCGGGCTGTCGGAGCAGGAGAAAGAGCAAGTCAGGAGGGAGCTGGCAACGTTAGTACGGAGGGGCTTTTTGGGTCGAAAGAAACAAAAAGCACCACTCACAATCATGCATGTGTACAAAGGATGGGTGGGAAACAGGTTGCATTGCAAAGATGTTGTTGCTCTGCTTCTTGCGTTTTGCGCTGCCCTTCGCAAAAGCGAGGCGTTTCTTTTGGATGTAAAAGGAAGTGGTAGCACGGGACTGATCTCCATGAAGTATGATACAAACGGGGATTTACTTTTGAACTTCCAAGAAGCTTCCACAAAAGTAAAGAAATGTGCTATGGTCAGGATTGCATGCGTGTGCAGTCAATTGAAGCAGATAAATTATCCACGGTGTTTTTGTGTATGCAAGTTTCGTGAAGTTCTACCACAGTTGCGCAGAGAAGATCTAGACGTGGCTAGCATAATGAAGAGACGTTTTGCACATGAAGAAGACGTTGCCAGTCACTCATGGAGAATAGGTAGCGCGACGCACCTATATTTGACGAAGATCGATCCCATACGTGTCATAGTGCACTGCAGTACCAAATGCGAGACGAAGATGCAGGCGTGTGCAGATGCTTGCGTAGACCTGCAGCTGTGCATAAATTGCGAAGTGTGAATGTGTGTGCAGCCAGCATCTTCCTGGTTTTTTGACATCTATAGCACGGCGGTCAAACATGCAAATGTTAATGCACTACATCAGATCCATACCATATGTCAGCAGGTCAATGCTTGTACCGCTGAACTTTTGTGGCATATAATTTTGTTGTGGAAAAAGTGTACATGTATAGCAGAAGTAAAATAAAGAAGCGGCGTGCAGTTGCACTTGTGCAGGCAGGAGTGTGCTTGATTGTGTTCACGACAGAGGAAGAGAAATCAGATGACAAAGTGATAGCAGTGAGTCAGCAAAATGCAAATGTTCCAAAATGTGTAAGCGTGCGTGTGTAAATCTTCACAGTTGCGGGTGTGTCAATTCAATGAAAAAAACACAAACCTGTAGTAGCAAGTCTTTGTGACTCTCGTGTCTGTGTGTCAGTGATCTCGGATTCCGAATCACAAAAAAGTCAAAATGGCCAATGTCAACCAGCAGCAGCAGGCAGCTCAGGGTATGTCTGTTACATGATTGTCTCTGTTTTCTCATGCGCAAGATGTAATTGTGTGAATGCAAGTACACTGCAAAAAGGTGAATGTTAATATTTAAAAAAAAAAACATTATTTGTCACCACAGCTGCGGCCGGAGGAGGGGCCAGCCGTGAGCTGGCCGACTTCATCATCGGACAAGACACGCAGACTGAGGGGAGTTTCCAGAGCCTCGTGCTCGACGTTAGCGAGCTCCGCCCGGCCCAGGCGGACTTCACCAAGTGTGCCAAGACCATCACCACCCGCTCGTTGTGGGAAGCGGGTACAGTGTGTGTTTGTGTTTCAAGATTGTGACAGGTCAACGTAAAAAAAAAAAAGAATGCATGTTTGAGATTTATGGTTTTCCTCATCTACTCGTCAGGTAAAGTCATGAAGGAGTGCCGCAAGGTCACCATCGCCGAGGATGGTTCGTCCAAGGTCAACAAGGACTTGCCCTTCAGTGTCAACGCGCTGTTTGCGGCCATGGGTGCCAAGTGCCACAAGGACCGCGACCCCTTGGCGACGGTCGAGCGGAGGAGCCAGATGATCGCCCAGCTCATGTTGGCCAAGACCACGATTTCCGAGGAGACGGCGGTGCGCGCCTTGGGTGCCATCATCTACAAGACGGAGCAGTGGACGCCCGATGCGTCCACGCCCGGCACCACCTACGAGGCCAGGACGCGTGTTTTCTTTGCTGAAAATCGTTTCAGCAAGCTGTGGTCGGAAGAAATCCAGCGTTTGAAAGGCATTCGTGATGCGGCTAGTGAAGCTACGGCCGAAGCCCGCGCTTTGGTGACAGAGGAACGCGCCGCTATGCGGGCTGAGCGTGAGGAGTGGCAGAAGTCGCATGGCCCAGTGTGGGGCAACAACGACAAGGGGAGCAAGTACAATGTCAACAACAAAGGTGCGATTTGTTCTTTATGATTGGCATGGGTTTTTGTAGTGTCACCACAGCTTGCTTGCATTATCAGCAAATGCATACAGTTGGACTTCTCCTTTCACACCTCAGGTAAAGGGAAGGACAAAGGCGGAATCAGGCGGACGGCCCGGGGCGGGGCAACGCGCTAAACCGCCGCTATATTCTGGCTAAATTGAAAAGCCGGAAGCGCACAGGCCGAATGGCCGCGGCCGCACTTCCGGACGTGGCGCGGACAGAAGGCGCGCCCCCTTCCGATTTCGGGCTCCGGCCCGTCGTTCCGTAGGCGACGGAAGCATACGGGCCGGGCCCCCCGGGGCCCAAACTCCGGCCGAGACACGGCATAGGGGCGCAGCAGGCCCGCGCGCGACGGGCCCGACTCCGCGGGCCCGGT